ATAGGGAAAACTATTGCTGCAGATTTGGAAGCATGAACCAATTCTGTTTATTTTTTAAATTGTGTTAAGAAAATTAATATATATTGAGCTTTTAGTCCTTAGGTCTGGGAAGTAAAAAATCTATTATTTGTTTTTGTTAGTTATGTTTAAATTGATTGTGTTGAGTGTTAATTATGTTATTGGGTTTTTAAAAAATATTTAAGGGGGAATAGTGGGATTCCAGAGGGCATATTTTAATTTAGTTTGGGGTTAGGTTTTAGATTAGAGTGGGAAATGGTTTTAAATATATGTAATTGAATATGGTTTGGATTGTATGGTTGGTTGTTTTAAAATTAATTTAAAAAGTTTAAACTTGAATTAGATTACCAAAATGAAAATGTTTATAAATAGTCAACTCAAAAGGATGCTTTTGTATTAAAGAAAATACCCTCTGTATCTGAGGTCTCCTTGGAAGATGAGTGGCAAATTTCTGATACTTCCAGCAAAATCAGTATATCTTTGATTGTTCTGATAGTTTTTGGCTTGATGGCACTTCCCCCCCCCCCCCCCCAGAGCTACAGGAATAACAAACCCATGTGGATCTTGAAGAGAAACAGAATGATCTGATTATTAATTTGTCAAAATATCATTTGCACTGGCACAAAAATGACACCGTACTCAACTTTATGGTTATAAAACATGGCCACAACTTTATTTTACAGGGTAATCAACAATTTTTAACACTTCACTTTAACCAAAAATTTTAATGTTCTTGACACGTGTTTTTATACATATCTAATTTAACCAACTGTGTCAATCTATCCCTTTAATTCATGTGTCAAGAACATTCAAGTTCTAAATAAACCCCACCTCGAATAATTCATCTCTCCCCAAACAAAATGACATCATAATTCAGCTCATGATGTAACATGTCCATGCTGTCATCAATTTGTTGGGTGATGACATAGCAACAAATGGATTAACCCATTTTGACGTATACTCTTTGTCCACTTAAATTTGAACCAATTTCATAAT